CTAAGTATCATCTTTGCATCTGTAATCGCTCAGATTTTTCAGCAGGTATACGTGACATTTTCTTACCGTCCTCTTGCCAAAATCCTGGCAAGGACTGATGAGTGTGGCTCCCTTCAGGGGAATCATTCCTTTCGGAGAATGGTCTGTTTTCTTTTTATAGAATTCCACCCCATCATCTGACAGCACCACCCACACAGCTTTCCAGGAGTTTAGCACTGTACCCTGAGGATCAATAAGAAAGTTGACAACAGGCTGAGCATGAGCTGTGAAAGTAGCTGCTTTGAGTATGTAGTTGTTACAGACGGCATGTTGTACATTGACTGAATAGTATGATTTATACATCAACATGTATTTGTCATCACTAAAGGTACTTGTGTCTGCTAGTTTGATATCCTCCCTTCCCTATTCCCTAGTCCAAATATAACCACGTATATCTATTGAATGTTTTACAAGAATTCCCCTCTATAAAAATACATTTTGCTTTGTGTTTCATTTCACACACTGAGTTTAGTGACATGAAGTGGAAGATTAACATACAGGCTTAAATAATGAAAGCACGCAGCTACTATCTGACCAGGCAGCGTTTACCAGCAGCATGAAAATGCAGAAATGAATCTATAGTTAGGAGTTCTAGTAATACGTATGGGGAAGAAGAATCACTGGCTTTGCCAACCCCACTCTGGACCAATTTGAGTATATGTTCCATTTTACTTGGTTTGGTTTTGAAAAAACCATGACACGCTTGCAGTGTTCTCAGCTTCATTCCCTCCCTGAGGGAACAGAAGCAGGTTGTTTAACTAGCGTGACTTTTTTCAGAAAGGCATGCGTTTGAAAAGTACAACATTTAAAGTTACATAACTTGTGTTAGAAACAAAGTCTTCCCAAAATGTATCTACTGTGAAACACATGCATGCTTTAAGCAACCCAAGAAAACTGTGTGCAGAATTGTGGCTGTGCTCATCAAATTCAACCATGCCAAGGGATACATAACATAACATAACAGAAATATGTAACAAATAATAGAGTTGGAATATTAGCCATTGCAAACAGCTGCAGCCCTTAATCTTGTCATTTATGTCCTGCACTGTGTGTAATGGATACTTGCCCATTCATATTTTCTTTATAAACGTAACATTGTGTATAATAAAACTCTGTTAATCCAAAACACAGTTTTGTTATATGATACATATGTTATTAAATTGTGCATTCATAAAACTGATTTCCACTCTCCAAAGTATCAACACAAATCTGGACTTTTCTTATTGCGTAACGATTTAGTCTTTCTTTCAATACTTTCCGACCTCCCTAAGCTGTCTGTGGTACATAGCCCCAAGCCAATTTGTTCCCACGGAGAAAGTACAACTATAAAACAAATATATAGTTTTATTTTGAAAAAAGTAAGCAATGACACCAGCAAGTGCATCACTGTGGATGGAGGTATTTTGGCACAGAGGAAGCTACTGTATATAAAGGTTTGGCTATACACAGGCACTACTTATTAGTTGGATCAATTCATTGTTAACAAAAGAAAAATATATAATATAACCAATAACCAATATTGAAATGTCAGAACATTAATCTACAGACATGAAATAAACCATTTTTATTGTAAGAGCGATTTCCCTGCTGACATTGATAAAGGTTTTTTGCTTGACCCAATTATTGCCTTTGATACTGCCACAGTAAGTCATAGGCGACCCATTAATCAGTTGTTTGTTTTCACATTATCTTTGTCCTTTTCCACTATGTACATGAAGTGTTATCTGATAACACTTCCCATCTTTAGGCATGGCCATTGCTTACAGCTGTGTCTATTTTTAACAACCATGTTGTCATCAGATTATTCACAGGATTCACTTCAGACGTGATACTTTAGGGATACACACTGACACAGAATTAACAAAAAAAAAGAAGATATTGGGTAATAAAGTTGTGTCTGATAGATAACACCAAATGTAATCTACATCAAGAGAATAATAGACGTGAGCACCAAAAAAACGTTTTATTAAAATACACTTTATAAATGCCTTTGATGGGCATTAGCTCAGTGGGTAGAGATGG